AAAAAAAAAAGGGGGTGCGATTCACCAAAGAACTGCCAAGCTAATTAGCCAACAGGAATTATGCCTATAGAGTCAAGTGCCGCAAAGTTAGGTGCGTAGCATTGAGAGAGACCTTTGCTTTTAAAATTTAGCCTACATATGATTCACATAATCTTTTCTGTGAAGCTCTAGGCCTCTATATGGAGTTAAAAAGGAAGTTACCTTTTTACTTTGTAACATATGCATATATTTTTCTAAATATAACTACGTTTCTGTATAAATGCTCTCTAACAAACTTCTCTTTCCTTTTTTTCTTGTCCACTTCTTGCTTTAGAGCATGAAAAAATTATTCCTGGCAAAGTTTACAGTGAAGTTACATCTTTTGGCTAAGGTTGGGTTTCATTTTTGTTTAGCTAGCTAAATAATTCTAAATGGTCAATGGAACTATTTATTGTATAACATTATGTGTCTAAGTGCTGTTCTGGGTTGGTCTCCCTTGCCGTGTATTTTGCCTTAATACTGAGTGCTGGGAACCCTAATGCCTACCTTTGGGTAAGATTACCAGGCACTTTGATGAATGATTGCTTTCATAAAATGTAACCCAGAATGTATGTTTCTTTGTACCCTATCATTAGGAAATTGATTTTGATGTAGAGGTAGTATCAGTATGCTACCTAAGACAACAAACAGTTCCTTTCGTAGGTTAAAAGAAGAATAAACTGGTCCTTACATTGTCACTAGTGGTTTCTGTGGATGCATACCAAAGTAAAAACGTTTGATATAGCTGAATGAAATGTCAGAGAATAAATATGTGTAAACAAACAGCTGTCACTTATTTTACTTACTGGTTCCACAGTTTGACTTCTACATCTTTTCAAGAATTGTCCCTGTCACAACAAGTTCTAAAAATCAGATGATTCCTTGTTTATCATCCCTTTGCTAGAGCCAGTTTCATTTGGCTAACGGATCACCATGGACAAGACAAAAATGCTGACAGTCAGCCATATTCAGTGCAGATTGCAACTCATGCTACCAGAACAATTATAACAATGTTTTGTTTGGAGCAATGCAATCATATTGTTTTCATTTGTTTCTGAACTAATGAATAGAAAGCAGCATAGCTGGTTGTGCTTCAAGATTTCATTTTACCACTTCAGTATACATTATGGAATAGAGACAGAGTTTTCCAGTTTTCCCAAGTGAAAAGGGCATTTTTTCTGCACAGTTAAAAGTATGGAAAGTAATGATGTTGCTATTTCTTTTACATCAAACATCTGATACCTCTAAGGGTAACTGGAAGGATGCGCTGCTCATCCTCTGCTACAGAGGTTGAACTTTTCACTGTGTATTTGCAGAAATTACCTGTTGCCTACACAAGTACAGGATAACAGGGGAATGTGCATTTGAGAGACCAAAGGGTAGATGGATATTCACTAGCTGTCTAGAAACAGTTAAGCAAAACTTGCTTCAGATTAAAACAGTTTGCTTTCTTCTGCACAGGTGATGTAAGGCTAAGTGGCCCAGTTTGAGAGATTTTGAGTAGCTCACGTGTTTCTACACTTCTAAGAGAAGACCATCGGGAAACATTATTTCTACTAGGCATGTCTTGGGCATCTAGTTTTAGGAAATTTATAACTTTTTATTTATTTGTCAGGATTATTTTTGCAATGATACGTATTTTTTGCTGACTTTTTGTGCTTTTATGAATTTAAATAGAGGCGTAGTACCCGATCAATTTGCAAAGTGTGTATGGTCGGTAATAAATTTTAAGCATTGTGTACATCAGCTTTTTGTGCCTTGGCCTGTACGGCTCAGCTCATCTGGTTCATTGTTCATACACACGGTTTGTTATTCATATTACTTGGACTTTTTTATATGATGATGAATTTTACGAATGAAAAAAGTAAAATATGAAAACAAGCAGTAAAATGAATTTTTATTATAATCTTACAAATCATTACGTAATATCTTTCAAGTACAACCAGTGCAAGCATTGCTAAAAATATAATCTCCCAATTACTTGACCTGGTGAAATTCTGACTATAAAATCAAGCCACTACATGGGACATGCTATCTTGATGATGGATCTGTGGTTCCTAGAAATATCTATTTAATTTATAGTAATTTAATTTACAGTAATTCCTAGTTAATTTATAGTAATGCTGTCATTATATTGATCTTCCTTGAAGACTAGTAGTTTTCTATTACATGTGAAGTATACGTTCATTTCCTTACAGAGAGTAAATGCTAAATAAAGATACTGAATTTTACTACCTTTTTATCTATCACTTAGCTACTCAATCTGAAAGTAAACACATTTATTTATTCTTAAAGTTTTGTGTCTTTGTGTTCCCACCTGCCAATTAAATTTATGATGCTTTAGTTAGACTAGTCACGTCTTTTACTGTGAGTGAAGTTATTTTTATGAGGTTTGTGCTTTTTAAATAAGTGAATCCACAAATCCTTCAGCTGTTTTGGTAAGCTTTTGTGATGAAACAGACCATTAACAACTAAGCAGCTAGCCTTGCAGTACTGCTTAGCACAGCTGACAATCAAGTCCTCAGGGTATTCTGTTGCTTAATCATTTATTTTTTCCTCTTTTCTTTTATTCTGCTGTACAGCCTCACCTCATGCTTTCTGTCTCTCACTTCTTTACTATTATATCTTGTTCTTATCCTTAGGCTCATTTGAGCTTTTGGTTTCAGAAGTTTTTCTTCTTTTCTACAGGCTCTCTTTTTCTCTTCTGTGGCTTTCCTGTTTATACAGCCTTTCCTAAACTTTCCCTGTTATTATGAATCATATAGCTACAGATTTCTGCTCTATTTAACATCAGTTTAGGTGCACTTAATTTTTTTTATACTAAAAGGAATCAATTTCAGCCACAAATATAATTGTGTCTGAACTCCTGAAGAACAAGAGCATGAAGTCATAATAAAATCAGAGGTTATTTGAAGAATTGCACTCTTAGCTTTGACAGAATCAGTCGATTAAAAAAAAAAAAACAAGAAAAATATAGTCACTTTTGAAGTTATCATATATTTTAACTGGAGGAAAATAGGAATGAAAGACAGATATTGAAATGTTCCATTGTTCACAGATCAAGAAACTAGATTCATTGTGAATTATCCTATTTCATCAGGGATATTTCTCTGTTAATCAGAAGAATGTATTAATTGAGGATTTTCTGAAGGACATACCAGTCTTGGTAAAAAGGCAAAGACTGTGTTTTTTAACAGAGAAAAGAAATTCTAGGAGAGCTAAATGGATTTTAAAACTTTGGAATAGTATTTATATGCATACCCCGACTTACATGGAATAAAATTACATAGACTTTAAGATTTTCTGTGGTTTGTGATTTTTTTTTTTTTTATTTCTTCTTGTTTCCATTGATATGTCTGGTCCCTCTGCTCCCTTCTCTGCACGTAGCAGGGGCAACAGCAGAACAGAGTATATATTCACACTCTGCCTTACCCATTTGGAGTCTGTTTAAATCTTTCTCGAAGGGTGATTTGCATTTGGTTCTAACACTGTGAACTGGAGTAGCTGCATATGCTATTGTTGCATCCCTGCTCTAAGGGATAAATGTGTGATAAATTTGTGATAAAATATTGCAGATCATTAAGTATAAACATTGTAAATATCATCACAGTTCTTCAAAAAAAGTGCAAAAATGTCAGTATTTTACAGGTATTTTTATCTTTTTTATCTTTTGGAATTTTACAGTGCTATTTGTAAACTTAAAGATATTAGCC